CATAACACAACACGGACCTGATCGAAGTCTCAAATCACATTAAACAACATCGAAATTATGAATCGTACCCTAATTCAAACTTAATGAACTTTGAAACTTCAACTTTTACCATCAATGACGAAACCTATCAAATCACGTCCGATTGACCTCAAATTTTATACACAAGTCACATTCGACATTACGGACCTACTACAACTTCCGAAATCAGATTCCGACCCCGATATCAAAAAGTCAACCCCCCAGTCAAACTTTCTAAAATTTTGAGTTTCGCCATTTCAACCTAAATTCCACTACGGGCCTCCAAATAATTTTCTGGACACGCTCCTATGTCCAAAATCATCATACGGAGCTAACGGAATCGACGGAACTCCGTTCCGGAGTTGTCTTCATACAGTTCCGACTACGGTCAAAATCCTAAGACGTAAGCTTCCTTTTTAGGGACCAAGTGTCCCAAATTACTCTGAATCATACGGTAACTAAATTCAACCACGCTCGCAAGTCAATACGCGTAATATGAAGCTTCTCCGGGCCTTATACCACCGAACGGAACTTAAATTCTTGAAACGACAAGTCGGGTCGTCACATAATGTAACGACCCGGTTAGTCGTTCTGGGAGTTATAACCCATTTTCCCCATTTCTGCTTATTTATGTGTTGTTCAGTTGTGTTGAGTTGTATCGAGTTGGTAGGTTTGGGTTCGGAGTAGTTTTGAAGTTAAATGAGACACTTAGTCTCTTTGTTAGAAAGCTAGGTTAGAAAAGTCAACCGGAAGTTGACTTATGATTAAACGAGTTCGAACTTGGATTTTTATGATTCGTTTAGCTTCGTTGAGTGATTTTAGACTTAGGAGTATGACCGAAATGTAATTTGGAGGTCCGTGGTAGAATTAGGCTTGCATTGGCGAAAGTTAGAAATTTGGCGATTTTGGTCGGCAGTGGAAAATTAGGTATCAGGGTCGGAATGGAATTTCAGAAGTTGAAGTAGGTTCATAGTGTCATTTGTGACGTGTGTGCAAATTTTGAGGTTATTCTGACGTGGTTTGATAGGTTTCAGCGTCGTTGGTCAATTTTGGAATTTAGAAGTTCTTAGGCTTCAATCCGAGGTTGAATTGGTGTTTTGGTGTTGTTTTGGGCATTCTGAAGGTTCGACTAAGTTCGGGTAGTGATATATGACTTGTAAGAATTATTGGTTGAGGTCCCGAGGGGATCGGGATGATTTCAGATGGTTAATGCAAAGTTTGAAAGTTGGGAAATGCAGCTGGAAGCTACTGGTGTGGCCACACCTGCGGATGGGGAGCCGCAGGTGCGATGATCGCAGGTGTGGATGGCATGTCGCAGAAGCGAAAAATGGAGGCCTGGCATTGAGCGCAGGTGCGGAAGAGAGGATCGCACCTGCGTGCCAGCAGGTGCGAAGGGGCAGCCGCAGGTGCGAAGCTTGGCGTTTAAGTGACTTTCGAAGATGCGCACTTGGGACCGCATATGCGAGTCCGCAGGTACGAGAAAGGGTCCGCAGGTGTGGAATCCCTGGGGCAGAGCCTATATAAGTTGTACTTCGTGATTTTTGCCCTTTTTCCACCATTGTTGAACGGTTTTGAGCTTTGGGGCAATGTTTTTTCAAGGGAGAATCACGAGACATCAGTGAGGTAAGTCGCTTGGGTTTTTTTACACGTGTTTATGATATTTTTCCACTGATTAGCCATGAAATTAGTAGGGGTTTAGGGTGAAATTGAGAGAGTTAGAGTTTAAGTTTTGGAGAGTTTTAAGTGAGAATTTGAGGGACCAAACGGAGTCCGATTTTGACGAATTTTAGATGGTTAAACTCGGGTGAGGACGAGGTTTGTTATTCTGCTATTTTTGACTGGTTTAGAGACATGGGTCCGGGGGCCGAATTTTGGCCGATTTCGGATTTTTGGCCTATTTATGTAGTTTTTATTGTGGAATTCGATTCTTTAGACTATGTTGATAGTAGTATTCTGATTTTGGTTAGATTCAGATCTTTTGGAGACTGAGTCCAGAGACGAGGGCATCCCGGAGTAGGATTTTACGCTATTAAGGTAAGTAACAGTTTTAACTCTGGCTTTGAGGGTATAAACCCGGAGATTTGACATCACATGATTGTTTGGAAGTGATACCTACGCTAGGTGACGGGCGTGTGGGTGTGCACCGCGAGGGATTGAGACTTGGTCCGTCCCGTGAGGCTGTGAGGCCTAATGGCTATTATCTGTGGTTATGTGTTTATTTGTTATTGAACTTGTTTGCCTTCATGTTAGAGATCATGCTTAGGCTTTATTCATGCACACATTATTTACACTCAGTCATAAATATTATTGTACATGTTTACCTCAGTCCCTATTATTTTGCTGATATGTTGTGATACTTGACGTGGGTTGTGTTTCCCTTATTTGTTGATGATGGTGAGGCTAGAGAGGTACATGACTGAGTGAGGCCGAGGGCCTGTTGTGAGGTATTTGATTGAGGCACGTGAGTTGTCTGTGCAACACGTGAGTTGTCTGTGCAGCACGTGAGTTGTTCGTGCGGATCCAGGTATTGATATCATAGAGCGTGAGCTGTCCGCGTAGCACGTAATTTGACCGTGCGGATCCAGGGATTAATATTATGGCACGTGAGTTGTCCGTGCAGCACGTGAGTTGTCCGTGCAGCACGTGAGTTGTCCGTGCTTAGCGCTTGGGCTTTGGGAGGCCCTCCGGAGTCTGTACACATCCTCAGTGAGTGCAAGTACCTATTAAGTATTGAGTGCTGAGAGCGAGTGCCGAGAGCCGAGTGCTGAGTGATGGAGTGACATTGCTGTGAGGATTCATTGCTTTTGTTGTTGTTGCATTTTACCCGTAAATTTCTTTGTAGCATTTATTGAGTGATGGAATTTACATGTTTATTCATGTTTATTGTAAATTGTGAAAATAAATAATTGAATTGTTCTACTTAGCTCGTCACTACTACTCAGTTCCTTAATTATTTCTGATACTACTGAGTCGGTTATACTCATACTACACCCTGCACTTTATGTGCAGATCCAGGTGAGTTAGAGCGCGGCGATCGTTGAGTTCAGGTCGGCTATCGTTGGAGACTGCAAGGTAGCTGCTAGCGTGCTCAGGACCTTGTTACTCCTTTTATCATTTCTTTTTTTTGGACTGTATTGACAGTTATACAGTTTTATTTCTTAGTTCATAGATTTAGACGTTCATGACTTAGTGACACCCCGATGTTTGGGGCTCGTTTCCGTATTTTCTATAATTATATTTAGAGTTGATTTAGTTTATAAAAAATTCAAATGTTGGAAATATTTTATTAAATTCTTATAATCGATTTAGTAGTAATATTTTGGGAAATAGGCTTGCCTTGTAACACGATAGGCGCCATCACGACCATTGTTAGATTTTGGGTCGTGACATATAAACTCCAAACAATATTCCTAATTGTTTGCAATAACATCCAATCCAAACAAATAATGATTTTTGAAAACCCAAATTCAATTTCAAAGTTTCAAAGCTTTTTAATGATTGTCAATGGTGGAAACTCTATACAGCAAGAAATCCATTGATGAATTACTATAATATCTTTGTCTTGAATTTAGTAATTCTTTTCAATATTTGTGATCCGCACTTTTGAGTTGCAATCTTTGTTCTGTGAACTCTAAATTTTATAATAACCAATTAAGTGTGAAAGTTTTACTACCATAAATCATATTCTTTTATTAAGATCACACTACTGGAAAGAAAGCTACACGATGGGTACACTGAAAAAAGCAGAGAGAGACACGGAGAGAGAGAGACATGGAGAGAGAGAGAGTGGACAGGTATAAAGGAATAAGGAAATAATTGATATTCTTTATTCAATTCCTAATATAAAGAGATACTCATTTAAAACTTATTTGTATATAATTGATAAATTGTATATGACCATGTAATTAAATTGAAACTTGAGCAGAGAGGGTAATAAGGTTTCAAATAATGTATAAGAATGTAAAAATCCCTATCTATTATTAGGTTTACAAATAGTAGTTATTTCGGTATTCATAATTTTTTATCTGTAAATGTTTCATTAAATTAAAAGATTGGATTTTAATGACATTGTATCTCTTTCTTCGTAATTCAATAATTTGTAATAAAATATTTATACAAATTTTTTAAATCTTATACTTATACACGCGTAACGCGAGTATGCTTAGACTAGCAAAAGAAGAAGAAGATACACCAAAATTTAGTTGGTATATTTTGCTCATATTTTTCCATCTCCCACTTTCTTCTTAAAATATTTTTCTGTATTGTATTATGTCATAAATACCTATTAGTTACTTAATTATGCCATTTCCCAAAATGTGAGTTTGTATTTTGTCTATTGTTTTGTATCAATTTTTTTTTAACGAGACTTCTTAACTTAATTTTTTTTTTTGTTTCCCTGGAAACATTCCACTATTTGTCCAATTTAGTTGCGTACGCACCACCAAGCAGCGTATGCGGTTGCTCTTCCCTTAACCAGAGATCTCGGGTTCGAGCCTTGAGTATGGAAGAATCATTGGTAGGGAGTGCTTCCCCCGAATGGGGCCCTACACGGCACTTCTCTATCTCAACTAGTATATAACACCGAGTATATATTTGAACAATTTATTTATTAATTTTTGAAACTGAAACTTATATTTATTTTAGAAAATTATTTCCTACAATACATTAAAGAAAATTAATCAAAAACTTGCTCTTTTTTAATTTTACAGAAATACTTTAAATCTAGTTTATGGGCATTAATTCATTCAAATTAAAAAAGAATAGATATTGTTTATAATTCCAAGACTAATTATCAAACATGCACTTTACGGGATAATTAGTTGTTTTTGCATAAGCAGCATATGTTGTAATTCAAAAAATTGAGGACAAAGAAAAAAAAAAACATAAAAGATCAAAAGAGTAATTTAGGGTAAAAACAAAAGGGATTAAAATGTTTTAAAAACTATAAACTTAGGTAGAAAATACAAATGTTAATAGATTGGGTTGCCAGTACCCAATTCCAAATTGTTCCAAATTGAAGAGTGAGCGAAGATGATGAGAGCTGCAGTGCATTACTCCCCCAATGGTAATCCCTCTGTCTCATTTTTTGCTATTTCTCGTCTCAATGCTGTGATTACTCATTCTGCTTCGGCAATTACACCCAGAGATTATTCTTCCTCCATTTCGACAAAGGGGAAACCTTTGGTTCCTAAAGGGTTTGAGAACGTCAAGTGTTTAGATGATGCTCTGAGTCTGTTCCGTCAAATGGTCGAAACAAAGCCTCTTCCCTCTCTCGTCTCCTTCTCGAGATTGTTGAAGACTGTTATAAATATGAAGCATTACTCTGCTGTTGTTTCTCTTTTTGGAGAAATGCAGAAATTAGGAATTCCAGCTGATGTATTCATATTAGGTACTGTGATTGACAGTTGTTGCCTGATGCATCGTACTGATCTTGGATTTTCTGTATTAGCCATTCACTTGAAGAAAGGCATTCCATTTAATGTTGTCATCTTTAATACCTTACTAAGGGGACTCTTTGCTGAAAATAAGTTAAAAGATGGAGTTAATTTGTTCAAAAAGTTAGTCAGAGAGAATATCTGTGAGCCTAACAGATTCATGTATGAAACAATCATGAATGGGCTTTGCAAAAGGGGACATACTGATGAGATCACCTACAATGCGATAATGGATGGATATTGTTTGTGTGGTCAAATGGATAGAGCAAGATTTTTTTTTGATTTCATGGTAGATAAGAGCATTAAGCCTAGTATTATTAGCTATAACATTCTAATAAATGGATATTGTAGGAACAAAAAAGTGGACGAGGCCATGCAATTATTTCTTGAAATTTCTCAAAAGGGATTGAAACCTAATATTTTTACTTGCAATATTGTCTTGCATGGTCTTTTTGAACTTGGAAGAACTAGCTCTGCACAGAAATTCTTTGTTGAGATGCTATCCGCGGGGCACATACCGGATTCGTACACTCATTGCACTTTACTTAGTGGTTATTTTAAGAATGGACTTGTTGAAGAAGCTATGTCACACTTTGATAAGTTGGAGAGGAACAGAGAAGATACATATATTGAGATTTACAATGTTCTCATTGATGGATTGTGCAAAAATGGTAAGCTTGACAAAGCTCTTGCTATTTTTGAGAAGCTTTCCTTAATAGGTTTACATCCTAACGTGATAACATACACTACAATGATTAATGGATTTTGCCGAGAAGGATTGTTAGATGAAGCTAAGGATATGCTAAGAAAAATGGAGGACAATGGTTGTTTGCCAAACAACGCAACTTATAATGTAATTATGCACGGATTTCTCCAAAGTAACAAAATTAGTGAAATGAAGGCATTTTTAAGGGAAATGACGGTGAAGAGCTTCTCATCTGATGCAACTACAGTAGAGTTATTAATAGACATTATAGCGGAGGATCCTTCTTTGCTTGACATGATACCCGAGTTTCACTTGGAAAATAAGAAGTGAATTTTTTTTTCACTTGGTTTATTCGGCTATGCTATCATGTTATGCAATTTCCTTTCACCTTTGCAAAAGAAATCACATCCTTTGGAATTGCGGGAACTGAGAAAATGACAATTAGAACATTGGTTGAGCTCTCCAGGCAAGCTCATTGAGGGAGGTAAATTATTTTGATTGTTTTCCCGCTTTTCTTTATCTTGGAAGTCAAATATTGTTGCGCACTATATCAGAAATAATTTGAGTTTCCTTATTTGCACGCGTTATAAGTCTAGGAATCAGTTTAAGTGGTATTTAGTTATCTTGAGATACTATCACAATCTATCTTTTTAGAATCAATAACTACTCTCTGTAGCATAGAAACTGCTGTAGAGACAATGTTTTCTACAATATATTAGGTCTTGGTAACATCAACCATAAATGGAATACCAGAGCTAACAAGATCAAAACCAAACTTCTATCCCTGAACCATATGGTATGTATATTTGGGATTTTCCTGCAATTGACACATAAGTTGTTAAGCCTGACATATTATTACGGAACTGTATCCAAATTATAAAGTTATGTTTTTGGAGGTTTTTCTCTGATCTAAAATACTGAATGCTTTGTTGGGAATCAACTTTTACATAGAACAATAATAATGTTAAGAGTAATTAATTTTATTGGTCATTGGACTAATTGTCATCAGATTTCAAAATGGTTGTAGTCCATATTGTTATTGTCAACTAAAATATATAGAAGATGGAGGAAAGGGATGCCCTTCGAAGATGTACAAATCTGTTTGCAATTCTCTCCTGTAATTGTTTGTTTCTTGATTTTAGATCAGTGTTATCAAAGGCGAAAAATGCAAAAAAGCTCTAAGGTCCATTGGGGCTTTAAACGCAAAGCACAAATAAAGCATGGGCTTTAATGAAAAAAGGGGCAACTGGAGAAAAAGTAAAAATATGTATATGTAGTCCAAGACCAATAATTATTATAAACATAAATAATCCTTATCAAAAAACAAAGAAATTGAATTGTTTTTACGATAAAGTGAAATATCAATTGTTTAATGTCGCATTTTCAGGATCACAGTTATTGGCAAGGAAAAGTATGTCTTAGAGCCTTGATGGGACACTGAAGCGCCCACAAAGCGAGGCGAAGCGCTCAACATGTTTTTAGCCTCGCTTCAGGGCTTAAGCGCGCCTTTGACAGCACTGTTTTAGATTATGGATTTTAACTTTTTAAGTATTGTCATGACCCCGGAATTCCCACCTTCGGGACCGTGATGGCGCCTAACATTTCACTCGCTAGGCAAACCAACGTTAGAGTAATTCTTTTGCCGATTTTTAAACACTTCGAACAATTTAACCAATTAAACAGAAATGAAGCTAAAACAAATACGATATAGCATAATAACCCTATTATCTAAGTACAACCCGGATCTGGAGTCATAAGTACACGAGCTTCTAAAGGTTCTACAAATAGAGTTTGACATAAATACAACTGTCTCGAATGAAATGAACAGTAAATAAGAAAAGAGGAAGGGGACTTCAAGGTCTGCGGACGCCAGCAGATCTACCTCGAGTTTCCAAATAAACTAATCCGAGCTGATGCATCTCACGGACAGCTGGGACTAGTACCAAAATCTGCACAAGAAGCGCAGAGTGTAGTATGAGTGCAACCGACCCAATGTACTCCGTAAGTGTCATGGTTAACCTTAACTTGAGGGATTAGGACTTGTTTGCCTATTTGCTTCGTGTTTAAATGTTTGGGTACAACGTATATGTGAGGTGACGAGTACTTATGCCTTGTTGTTGGGTTAAAGCATGTGGATGAGACTTGTTTCCTTGTAATTTATTTCCTTATTTGATTATGATATCCATGCTTAGACTAGTTTGTTTCTTAATTGATCGTTCTTTCCGTATTTATGAATTATTGTGATAATTGAGTACTTTTGGAAGTTGAGGTTTGGTATTTTGGAACCGTTGTTGACGTAAGGTTTGTTCTTGCTTATTCTACCTCCCAAATGTTATATATTCATTGCTACATGATAAGGGAGAGTGTTAAAGCACAGAGGGTGATACCGTGCCGATTATTGTTTCGTTTATTGATTAATACATGGTGAGGAAGAGAGTTAAAGCACGAAGGGTGATGCCGTGCCATGCCTTATTTATCGTTTCATGACGAACAACAACAACAACAACAACAACAACCCAGTATAATCCCACTAGTGGGGTCTGGGGAGGGTAGTGTGTACGCGGACCTTACCCCTACCCTGGGGTAGAGAAGCTGTTTCCGATAGACCCTCGGCTCCATCCCTCCAAGAACTCCCCACCTTGCTCTTGGGGTGACTCGAACTCACAACCTCTTGGTTGGAAGTGGAGGGTGCTTACCACTAGAGCAACCCACTCTTGACGAAAATGAGAGTAAAAGCACGAATGGTGATGCCGTGCCATTATTATTGTTTCATGGGGAGGTTAAGAGTAAAAATACGATGGGTGATGCCGTGCAGTCTTTATTCATTATGTTATCCGTTTTCATTGGTTGGCGATTAACTTGACTGTCTTATGTTGACATTTCCGTTACAACTATCGTATCATGTTCCCCTTCGCATGTCCCCTCCCACTAGTACGTGTTTAATCTCTATTTGTTGTCATGTTGCGCGTATATCTTTGTTTGTACATGTTTAATTACGTGGGTGTCCTGTCATAGCCTCGTCACTACCTCGTCGAGGTTAGGCTCGACACTTACGGAGTACATTGGGTCGGTTGTACTCATACTACACTCTGCACTTCTTGTGCAGATTTTGGTACTGGTCCCAGCTGTCCGTGAGGTGCATCAGCTCAGATTAGCTTATTTAGAGACTCGAGGTAGATCTGCTGGCGTCCGCAGACCTTGAAGTCCCCTTCCTCTTTCCTTATTTACTGTTCATTTCATTCGAGACAATTGTATTTATTTCAGACTCTATTTGTAGAACCTCTAAATGCTTGTGTACTTGTGACTCCAGATCCGGGTTGTACTTAGATAATGGGGTTATTATGCTATATCGTATTTGTTTTAGCTTCATTTCTGTTTAATTGGTTAAATTGTTCGAAGTGTTTAAAAATTGGCAAAAGAATTACTCTAACGTTGGCTTGCCTAGCGAGTGTAATGTTAAGCGCCATCACGATCGCGAAGGTGAGAATTCCGGGTCGTGACAAGTTGGTATCAGAGTACTAGATTACCTAGGTCTCACAAGTCACGATCAGGCTCAGTAGAGTCTGGAGGATCGGTACAGAGACGTCTGTATTTATCTTCCAGAGGCTATGGAGGTTAGGAACAATTTCACTTCTATTCTTCTGTGTCGTGCGATTTTATTCCATCATTAATGATTGAACTCTTCCATTCTCTCTCTCGCAGATGGCGAGGACACGTATTGTATCTTCAGCGGGACAGCAGCCGGAGCCCCCAGTGGCAGCTCCTACGAGGGGCAGAGGTCAAGGCTGAGGTCGCACCAAAGGCCGAGGCAGAGGCAGAGCCCAGCCTAGAGCTCGAGCAGTGGAGCCTTAGGTGGATTTTGATGAGGAGGTTCCAGCTCAGACTGTACTTGTTGGACCAGCTCAGGTCCCAGAGGTGGTTCATCGCCACTCCAGTGCTTTAGGACGCTCTAGTCCGTATGGTGGACCTTATGGAGAGTGTGGCCCAAGACGGTACATTTCCGGTAGCACCAACCGTCTCTCATGTTGGGGAAGGAGCACAGACACCCGCCACTCACACTCTGGAGCAGATGGCTCCCCAGTATCAGACTCCAGCAGCCCCTCCTGTTGGGGTAGTTCAACCGTTTGTTGCGACACAGGCCGGTGATAGGCCCGCCATGTCTTCTGAGGGCTTATTGAGATTGGACAAGTTTACAAAGCTCTTTCTAGTTCACTTCAGTGGTGCACCTTCTGAGGACCCACCGGATTATCTTGACCACTGCCATGAGGTGATGCAGAACATGGGTATAGTTGAGACCAATAGGGTCGATTTTGCTGTGTTTCAGATGACGGGTTCCGCCAAAGGTGGTGGAGATTATTTGTTGACCATACTAGCTGGGTCGCCTGCACTTACTTGGGACCAGTTCTCTCAGCTATTTCTAGAGAAGTTCCTTCCTATCACTCTGAGAAAGGATTACCGCAGGCAGTTTGAGCGTCTCCAGTAGGGCAGTGTGACTGTTACTCGGTACGAGACCCGTTTTGTGGATCTAGCTCGTCATGCCCTTATCTTGCTTCCTACTTAGAGAGAGAGGACGAGGAGATTTATTGATGGTCTCACTCACCCTATTAGGCTATAGATGGCCAAGGAGACCGAGGGTGAGGTTTCCTTTCAGACGGCTGCAAATGTTGCTAGGTAGATCGAGATGGTTCTTGCACATGAGAGGGGGCAGGGGTCTGATAAGAGGCCTCGTCATTTCGGTGGGTTCAATGGTGCCTCGTCTGGAGGCAAGGGTACTTTTGGTAGAGGCCATCCTCCTAGGCCGTTTCAGTCAGCGCTCCAGGCATCCCACATTGCTTCAGGTAGTTGCGACCCTCATATGTCTCATCCCGACTAGCTAGCCTACCGTGCAACACCAGTTCCTATCAGTGCACCTCCGCTCCGGAGTTTTCAGGGTGGTTGCCCAGGTCGACAAGGTCAACAGTCACAACAGCCGAGGTCATGTTATACTTATGGTGATCCGAGGCACATCGCTAGATTTTGCCCTCGGGCACCGGGCAACACACATCAGCAGGGTTCTCGTGCTATGGTTCCGACACCGGTTGCTTCACCGCCCGTTCAGCTAGCTAGAAGCAGAGGTCAGGCAGCCAGAAGTGGAGGTCAGACTGTTAGAGGTGGAGGTCAGGCCGTTAGAGGTGGAGTCCAGCCAGTTAGAGGCCGTCCCAGAGACGTCGTTCAGAGTGGTGGGGCCCAGCCCCGGTGTTATGCTTTCCCAGCTGGGCCTGAGGCTGAGTCATCTGACGCTGTCATCACATATACTGTTCCAGTTTGCCATAGAGATGCTTCAGTGCTATTTGATCCGAGCTCTACTTATTCCTACGTGTCATCCTATTTTGCTTCATATCTGGTTGTGCCTCGTGATTCTTTGAGTGCTCCTGTGTATGTGTCCACACTTGTGGGAGATTCTATTGTTGTAGATCATGTCTATCGTTCGTGCGTGGTTACTATTGGGAGTCTTGAGACTAGCGTAGATCTTCTACTTTTTTATATGGTAGATTTTGATGTCATCTTGGGTATGAATTGACTGCCACCTTATCATGCTATATTGGATTGCCATGCCATGACGGTGACTTTAGCCTTGCCGGGTTGCCTCGATTAGAGTGGAGGGGACTCTTGGCCATTCTACCAGCAGAGTTATCTCTTATGTGAAGGCTCGATGTATGGCCGAGAAGGGGTGTCTAGTTTATTTGGCTTATGTCCGCGATTCTAGTGCGGAGGTTCCTTCCATGCTTTAACCCAACAACAACGCATAAGTACTCGTCACCTCACATATACGTTGTACCCAAACATTTAAACACGAAGCAAATAGGCAAGCAAGTCCTAATCCCTCAAGTTAAGGTTAACCACGACACTTACGGAGTATATTGGGTCGGTTGTATTCATACTACACTCTGCGGTTCTTGTGCAAATTTTGGCATTGGTCCCAGCTGTCCGTGAGGTGCATCAGCTCGGATTAGCTTATTTGGAGACTCGGGGTAGATCTGCTGGCGTCCGCAGACCTTGAAGTCCCCTTCCTCTTACCATATTTACTGTTCGTTTCATTCGAGACAATTGTATTTATTTCAGACTCTATTTGCACAACCTCTAGAAGCTCGTGTACTGTGACTCCAGATCCGGGTTGTGCTTAAATAATGGGGTTATTATGCTATATCGTATTTGTTTTAGCTTCATTTCTGTTTAATTGGTTAAATTGTTCGAAGTGTTTAAAAATTGACAAAAGAATTACTCTAACGTTGGCTTGCCTAGCGAGTGAAATGTTAGGCGCCATCACGGTTCCGAAGGTTGGAATTCCGGATCGTAACAAGTATAAACTATGCTTGTTTAATTTAAGAATTTTGGGAGATGGGGTTCGATGTCTTATCTCATATTTCAGCATTGTGTTATCTAAAGAAGTTTCATTACTTGTTATCAAATGGTGTTAAAACTATCAATCTACTTCTCAAAATGACATTTTGCTCTCTGGTTACCTGGTTATGTCTACAAGAAAAGTATTTATGCATGTTCATGTTTGTTTTTTTTATATATCCAACACACAAATAGTCAACCCTAGTCATGGCACATACCATCATCTGAGCCCCTGCTCCAACCGGGGTAACTTACACATTGCTTGCAGCTCGCTTCCTTGTGAAACTTCTGAAGCCCCTATTGTTCTTATAAGTGTAAAGTTGTATGATGTAACTAGTGTTACTCTTTGCAATAACAACTGGACTATGGTACAAGACTGAAATTTTTGAAGTTGGAAAACCGTTTCATTTGGAATATAAGCTCCTGCCCAGGCTACAGTATTTGCATGTTTAGAAGGCTAGAAGCTACAAGTGATAGCTCATTATGTACATAGCACATGTTTGATAGACTAGGAAAATCTGATTTATATTGTTATGAATATTTCTCTTCTATTGCAGTGATAGACCTTCTGATGGTACTGTTAACTTAGTGACTAAGTACAAAACAAGATATTCTTATTAGCCAATGTGCTACTCACTACATTTGACTACCTTTTTTTGTTGTTTTTGTGTTATGAATGTCATTTTCGCCTCCCTTGCTCTATCCATCAGGTTCCAGGTGAAAAAGAAGAAAGCCTGTCGTAATTTCATGAGCATCATGCTTTCTGAGTGCAAGATCAAGAGACATTTGCAAGCTCTCTCTTCACCCTTCAGTTGTGCTATACCTGTTACAAGAGGTACTTTTCTCTCTAAGAACTGCTTGGTTTTTAAAGTGTTCTAGATTCTAATTTCAGTACTTTTATGAGTAAATTGATTTATAAGGACTCTTTAAGGTTGTTTTGTTGGTTTGGCTAAGCAAATAACCTACCGCATACGTTGTCAGTAAAATCCACGTGTCACCTCGTAAAACTAAAATGATTGTAGTTTCTGTTGAGACCACAGTCTAAGAAAATGATTGGTGAGAACTGAGAACCGGTTTGATAGTCTATTTTGGTTTTGGAACTTATTGCAAAAGCTTCTCGAACAAAGTACTGCGACTTAGTTATTGTTAGAGCTTATTATGTTCATATAGCACAAAATCTACCAAGAAGCATCTTTAGTTGAGCACGAGAGAAAATTTAATAATGTATTTATGTCTTTCTACAGGAGAATGGAACTTTAAAATTGGCTGCAACATATCACTTTCTATGCTTATAGGTTTGTGCTTATGTTTTAGTTAGCTTCCAGCTTTCACTTTGGTTTTCTCAATTTGTTTATGTGTTTAGGAAGGAATCTGCACTATTGCCAGCAATTCTGTTTCATTTAGAAGATCACTGCATTTGGACATTTTTATTTGATTGAGAAAGTAGTATTCTTTAATTAATTTCTCAAAACAGTTTTCTGGTAAGCAAAATATCCTGCAACTATACCTCCGTCCAGGCACCAGGACACCACATTTCTTTCCAGCTTCAGTGCCATTGTGTTTAACCTTCATTCAAATTTAGAACCCACAAATAATGCCCAAAATACACTTGATTAAACTTCACTTTGCTTAAAATATACAAGGAGAGTATCGAACTAATTGTAGATCCGTCCAAGACAATCCCACGCTAGATCCCACATTTGAAACGAGGTAAACTATTGAGACTTGAAATTGATACTGTCAAAATCTGTTTAAGAACTATGCCAATTCAAACGAGTTGCTGTCATTTTCTTATATAGAGTAGAAAATTGATTCAGAGATCCCATATTGACTTTGAATGGTATGTTAGATGAGTGTTACATTTTTGTCTATTGTGAGTTTTGTGTGTGAATATATGCAGACAATAACTTAAATGTATTCATCATAAAGGAATTGCTCCTATTATATAACTGTTAAGATAAAGCTTGTGATTCTCAAGTAATGTTACAAAGAATACATGTATGTTGCCCCTGACAGATTTCTCGGTCTTAAAAAAGATAGTACATGTATGTTATTTTCTTATTCCATTAGAGTTTGGTATATACGGCAAATTGAAAATGTTTAAAACTGTTTGTGATTTGACTGTTTTCCTCTGTTAACAGATTGGGTATTTTCTATTCACATAACTCTGGTTCGGGTATCGGGCTGGAACTTTCGACTTCCGCGCTTTTAAAACCTGGTATACACATGCTATTAGCACCATGTTAACATGTGGTCTGTATCATCACATTTCATTATTGAAGTCTCTCTGTCAAGGTGTGAGTTTACTTGTTAAGACATGATCATTCCGACTTCTGTAAATATGATTATCCCATTTAATACTTCGCAGATGTCTCATGATGCTTATTTCACTCAGAAGAATCTCCAGAATAGGCGTGTATATTAGTGCAACAAGTGACACATGTGGAATAAGTAAAGAGGAAAATGATACATTTGTTTGAGTTGGATTGATGCGTAGATCTCCAAAGGACGTGTTCTGCTTCTAGGAGGGCTGCAAGTGCAAAAAGAGCTAGGGATTTGTAAGACTATAGCCACCCTGCATTTTATCAGTCTGTGGAATGAAAGAAACCAAATATGTGAAGCAAAGTCTACGGTTGTACAATTTTTGAAGTTCCAAGTGTTAACCTAGCCTCTGGTGTATATTAAAATTTTATGTACATGATTATAGGGGTGTTCGTCGGTCGGTACAATACTGTACTTAGACATTTCGGTTTGGTATTTTCAGTATTCGATTTCGTAAAATGTTATACCAATACCGTACCTAATTAAATTCGGTATTGTTCGATTTTTCTCCTTTCGATTTTGGTTTATTCGGTTTGAATACTAACTAGTGCATAGAGTCATAGACGGTAATATTCTTAATTAAAGTACAAAACTAAAAACGTTTGTTGATTAAAGTTTTGTTCAAAATCAGCAAATATCAACCTAGAGAGAGAAAACTTAGAGAAATATTTTGTTACTTGCTTAGAGTTCATTGATGAACTTAGAGAATAAAGGAAAGTAAAATTTTAGATTTCTTATATTTATGTTATAATTAATAAAATGTGTATTGTGTAATATAATATATATTTCGGTATGGTATCGGTATTTCGGTATTTTATTTTAAAATATCAAATATCATACCTAATACCATTTTTTTAAAACTTAAACCAAATACCATATCGAATACCAAAATATCGAATACCGAATACCAAAATTTTCGATTTCAGAACAGTAATTAGGTATTTATCAAATTATGCACAGCCCTACATGATTAGCATGTATGGTAGAATTCATTCATTATTATAAGAAAGGATAGTGCAAAGTGTGGGGTCCTTTTTTTGTAAGAAACAGTATTAGCATAGTGTCGCGCCCCCTCTTTCTCGCGAAATCGGGTTTCGACACGCGACAACTCTTTTAAAGGAAGGTGTTAAAAGAGAAAGTCGCCACCTAACGGGTTTGAGGTGCGTTAGGGCACCTATTTGTAAATAACTCTGGTTTAACCAGTTTGCGTCATCAAAGATCGGGTAAGGGCTCAAATTACCTCGAAGAGAAGGTGTTAGGCACTCTTCGAGGTCCACAACTGTGGGTCCCGACCGAACTTGAATTAAATAAATTAGTCAGAGAGAAAAACAAGAAGTTTGAAAAAAAATCATTATTAGAAAGTCCTTGAGTAAACACAGATAATTGGTTAAAAAACAGGATGGGGGGTCCTAAGTTTTTTAGCCTAAAGGATCACCCCGTGCAACATAAATAATACTTCGTAACTCCCTCGAGGTGGGGTGTTACTCGTATTATTCAGCGGGCACAGACTATCATCTCCTGCTACCCGATTACTATCTTTAAGTTTTTACCTAAAGCGCACTAGTTGATTCTAAAACGTGCCCTATACGTGCACTACCCGTCCCATGCCTATGGCCCAGGAGGCGTTTGGACCTCTATTTTGGATGGTTTCTAGACTTAACTTAGGCTGCTCAGAAATGATAAAACTAGGCGACATACAAAATAAGTTGGACTTAATGTAAAAGCAATTAAGGGCTCAAGTTAGCCTCCACACTTAGACAACAAATGCACGCGAATAAATTTTCACATTAAGCGTTAGACAATTTCAGGATTGAGGCAAATTAAAGCCATTAGGCCCTATAGACATGGTTTCTATTTGACCTGGATTTTGAAAGCGCAGACAGTTTTGTATGCAAAGTATAATTTCTAAGTGACTACACAATTGCCTACTAATTACAGATTATAAGCGATTAAACCTATAGACATGCTATCTAGATGATTTACGCACTAATTGGCAGTGATAATAATAGGAGATATTCAGAATTACTTAGTTTGCTCCTATAGGCATGCTTTCTAATAGTGGCAACGAAACAGTGTTGAAAGTTCAATTTTAGCACTTAAAGCAAGATTTCTATGATTAGCGATTGAAACTGATTTTAGCTCCTATAGTCATGTTTCCTAAATGAGCAATTATAACAACAACACATTAACCAATTAAACCCTATAGGCATGATTTCTAAAATACAGATTTGGTAGAACATAAATTAATAGAACCCTATTGTCGTAGCACCTAATGAATATGCTGTAATGCACATTGAGACATTGGTCATTTTATTTTCTATAGGCATGACATCTAGCATGTAGAAACAGAATATGTTAAACGAATTAAATACCTATAGGCAGGTTATCTAACACACACAATAGCAGAACATGTTCGAGCAAAGTAAATACCTATAGGCAAGATTTTTACCCGTTTCATGCAAATATTAAAATAAACCCCTTTTCCCAATTTCACTAACACCCTAATTGTTATTATAACATTATTACAAGTCCACTGAGTGAAATAAATTACAGAATTAGATAATAGCTATAGTGGGCCTAAGGCAGGCCCAATGTATACCTAGCCTAGCTAGGCCTTCAACACAGTTTCACAACAGGCCAGAAACAATCTCCATTCACACAAAATATCCCACATCCAGTAGCCATCAAAAGTCCCAGAGGTATAGCCATTTACACAAACCAACTGGTTTATCCAGTAGGTGAGAAGAGGGGGGCAAAGTTGAGCAATTAGAAAAAATGTGGCAAAGAAACTTGGACCCTAGTGTTTCAGAGTTCCCAAGGGCTTCAAGAACCCAGGACAGTGCTCACACTAGGGAGGTTGATAGAGGAGACTTAGGGGAATGGCTTTGGCTTTCAGCCAGCCCCAGAATTAAATAAGAAACAACCAGTGAAAATAGTAGTAGGGTAAAAAGTTTGGAAAACATTTGCAAACTTGTAAGATAATCACATAATAAACTCCAAAAGCAAATTAACACACTGGGCAGGGTGACATATGATAAGGAACAAGGAGCCTGAGATTGCAAGTTAACATGCAATGGTATTAGACTATTAAAACCAAGTAATGCAACTAATTTAGGACTTAAGGGATCATATTATACCAAACACAGGAGTTAAGCATTATAATACAAATAGGATCAGGTAACATAGAGAGTGTCAGTTAAGGCAGACTGGTTTTAAAGGATCAAAAGTTGTAAGCGGTACAGATTGGATATGTCAAGAATACATAGGGTGATAACCATAGTCATAAGAGCATATAACATTCAGAGTAAAGGTCTTAAACAAGTTAAGGCATACTAATAATATCAAATTGGTCATTAGAAGTTCAGAATTAGCCAGAGAACATAGATTGAACCATATAGTCAAAACAAATTTTTTAGGTTATCACAAACTAAACTAAGCATGCTTCATTTTGTTTAAATTAATTAGGCTAGGTGCAAATCATTATTAAGCTAGCAATCACAAGCAGAATTAGGCATAAAAGAATCAAAGAAATGCATTAGATCATGCAGTTCAGAGAATATGCTAATTAGAACATAATAAACATTGAGAAAGTTAGAAACTAACCAGTGACTGTTCGATAAACAAGAAAAAGATTGCAGTAAGGACCCAGAGTCCTGAATATGTCAAGTTCCAAGGGTTTCAAAAACCCAGGTAGTGCTCACACCTAAGAGGGGTCAGAAAAAGTAGAAGTCTGGTGGCCTTGGCTTTCAGCCGGCCAAGAACCAAACAGAATCGAATAGTGAACAAGTATAAAGTAGAAAACTTCAGTTTTTAGTGAGAGAATAGTGATTCCAGTTCTGTCTAAAGGGGAAAAGGGGATGGGTTTATATAGTGATAAACATTAAACACACAGACAAGGAAAACAATCAATCAACCTCAAAAGAAAAGGAAAGAATAACATGCGAAATTGATTCAGAATCAATTTAGGAGAAGTCAAGCAACCCTAGTTTTTAGAAAAATAAATATTACCGGAATATACACAAAAATAATAACATAGGATGAATATAGACCCAAATAGCACTAAAAATCAGAGGGTCAAACTAATTTTGGTCCGATTTAAGAAAATCTGAAAATTCTAATTTTAGGGTAAGACAAATATTGACAAAAATATAATAAAAATATGCCATAGTAGAATATAGGACGAATATGGACATAATAATACTTAAAATCAGAGAATCGAACCTATTTTGGTTCGATTAAAAGAGATCCGAAAACCCTAATTTTAGGGTAAGTAAGAATCCATAAGAGATACACAAATATTCGTACTTACAAAGAGCAAGATGATGAATGTAGACAGAATATCGGAAAAGTCAAAGATTTGAACCGATTTTGGTTCGATCCTTATGAGATGTGCTTGCCATGTTTAGGCAAGCAGTATAGAAGAAGAACCAGTACCAAAAAAAGGCTGTATATGGCAAAGGGAAGCCATAGAATCCCATATCGTGTGGGATTAGGAGAGATTTTTTTTTTGGGGGGGGGGG